CAGCAGCTGGGCTATTCCTCCTGTGCCAGTGACTCATTAGAGACTCGTGCTAGAAGTATGCTGTGTGCCTGTGCTATTTCTTTTAACCTCCATGGTGATATTCCTTCTGTCCCAGTAGCTTTAGTTGCATCCAGTGATGCAAGCTGTATCCTTATTTCCTCTGCCGTTACCTCAATATTTAATAGTGTCTCATCAGGGACTGCTTCTTCATCTACCTCTGGGAGCTGTTCAGGCTCAGTAGTGAACACTCCACGGAAGCTGGCATTGAGCTCCTCTGAAATTTCTTTATAAATTTCTGTATACTGGCCTCCCCCTTTTTGTATCTTGGTCACTTGGTCATCCACTGTCATTTTCCTTCTTATATGGCTATGTAGGAATTTCGGTTCACTTTTTTTCTTAGGAGGCAATATAATTTTCATAGTTTCTTTCTGCCAATCTTCTTATGTACATGTAATCATTCCTGACCCTGTTACATCTAGTCCGGGTTACCTCTGTCCTTTGCCTTCTGTATTTCCTCCACTCCTTTCTGATTTTTGCTTTTGCTTCCTGGCACTGTCTGTTGAACCACGTACTAATATATGTTCTCCTATTTTTGTCCCTTAATGTACATGACGAATAAAGAAGTTTCTTTCTACAACTTCCAGTAATTTCGCTCTCCACGTTTCTTCCCCACCATGAGGATTTCTGGATTCCCAGTCAATCTCTCCATGATTTAGGTCCCCCCCATAACTAGAAGTGTAGCTCTCAGTCTGTGTGCCACTGTTGCTGCTCTCTGCAATACCTCTATGCATGCTTTGTTGTTGTCATCATATTCCTGTCTGGGTCTTCTGTTGTTTGGTGGGGGGTTGTAAATTACCAGAGCCACAATTCTTTTTCCATCTGCTGTCAGTGTCAAAATATAACACACACATATTTTGTGTCATATTTTGTACTCATCTAGTTGTGCTTGCTAGACAAAGACAGTTTATTTACCACAAGGGGTACACGGACTAGGGGACACAGGTGGAAATTAAGTGCCCAAATGAGCCATAGAGACATTAGAAAGAATTTGTTTAGTGTCAGAGTAGTTAATAAATGGAATGCATTAGGAAGTGATGTGGTGGAGACAGACTCCATACACAGTTTCAAGTGTAGATATTGCAGTCTCCGTGGCGTAATGGTAAGACGCTCGCCTGGCGTTCCGGGAGCGCTTTGTCCTGGGTTCGTATCCTGGCCGGGGAGGATTTACTGAGCGCAAATCCTTAACTGTAGCCTCTGTTTAACCCAATAGTAAAATGGGTACTTGGGTACAAACGATTCTTCGCTGGGGTCGTATTCCAGGGACCATAGGATTAAGGACTTGCCTGAAACGCTACGCGTACTAGTGACTGTACAAGAATGTAAGAACTCTTGCATATATAAATAAATAGTGTGTGTGTGTGTGTGTGTGTGTGTGCGCGCGCGCGCGCGCTTTTTCGCTTTGATCGCAATATCGTTCTCATAATTTCTTTCCGATAATCTTATGTTACTGCAATCGTTCCTAGCTCTGTTGCATCTAATCCTGTTGTTCTCTGTTCTTTGTCTTCTGTACTTCCTTCACTCTCTCCTATTTCTCCTTTTTGCTTCCTGACTGTCTATTAAACAATGGGTTATTATATTCCCTCCTACTTTTTTCCATTACTGTTGATATAAATCTCTCTTCGGGGTTCTAGCATTTCCATATGATTAGGTCCATCATATCTCGGACTGTTTTTCCTCTAATTTCTTCCTCCTACTGCACTTCTCCAATGTGTGTGTTCTTACCTAGTTGTACTTACCTAGTTGTGCTTGCGGAAGTTGAGCTCTGGCTCTTTGGTCCCGCCTCTCACCCGCCAATCAACTAATATACAGGTTCCTGAGCCTACTGGGCTCTATCATATCTACACTTGAAACTGTGTATGGAGTCAGCCTCCAACACATCACTGCCTAATGCATTCCATTTGTCAACCACTCTGATACTGAAAAAATTCTTTCTAACGTCTCTATGGCTCATTTGGACACACTTTAAAACCTGTATCCCCTAGTGTGTGTGCCCCTTGTGTTAAATAGTCTGTCTTTATCTACCCTATCAATTCCTTTGAGAATCTTGTATGTGGTGATCATGTCCCCCCCTAACTCTTCTGTCTCCCAGTGACGTGAGGTTTAATTCCCATAGTCTCTCCTCGTAGCTCATACCCCTCAGCTCGGGTACTAGTCTGGTGGCAAACCTTTGAACCTTTTCCAGTTTAGTCTTATGCTTGACTAGATATGGACTCCATGCTGGAGCCGCATACTCCAGGATTGGTCTGACATATGTCGTATACAAAGTTCTGAAAGATTCCTTACACAAGTTTCTAAAGGCCGTTCTTATGTTAGCCAACCTGGCATATGCCGCTGTGGGTGTGTGGGTGTGTATGCGTGCACGCGTGCACGCCAGCGTGTGTGTGTGTATGATCTTAACTAGCTATTTAAGGGGGGATTGGACTGCATTTACAGGGCGCCATATCTTTAAGTTATCTTATATTTTATAAGTTACCTTTAAAACCGAACTTTTGAGTTTCCTTTAAAACCCAACTTTTGAGTTACCTATTAGTAATTACGTATTAGTACTTACAAGAGCAATGGTTGTATTTTCTTGTAGGTGCATCACGGTACTGTGCTCCCCACTGGGTAATGCTCAGATGTTTTAGTATGGGTTTCTCCCTCACGTGTTTCATTATAAATAATTTAAAATATTCATTAGCTTTCGAGCGCACAACTTCTTGGTCGAGCTAAGACGAATCGATAAACGAGAGGAATATTTATAACTGGATGAGTTTGTTTAATGTGAAGTACTTCAGCTATGTCCAAATATGACGATGTTAAGAGACTGCACATACCAGAAGCATTTTACATCAAACACACCCATCCATCCAGTTATCACCAGCGAGCATGTGCCTTGGTTCGTCCTTCCTTGAATATGATCAAGATGACCTACCAGTTCATCTTCAACCCCACCAACGCAGCACACCAACGTAGCCCACCAACGCAGCCCACCAACGCAGCCCACCAACGCAGCCCACCAACGCAGCCCACCAACGCAGCCCACCAACGCAGCCCACCAACGCAGCCCACCAATGCAGCCCACCAACGCAGCCCACCAACGCAGCCCACCAACGCAGCACACCAACGCAGCACACCAACGCATCCCACCAAAGCAGCCCACCAACGCAGCCCACCAACGCAGCCCACCAACGCAGCACACCAACGCAGCCCACCAACGCAGCCCACCAACGCAGCCCACCAACGCAGCCCACCAACGCAGCCCACCAACGCAGCCCACCAACGCAGCCCACCAAAGCAGCACACCAACGCAGCACACCAAAGCAGCACACCAAAGCAGCACACCAACGCACCCCACCAACGCAGCACACCAACGCACCCCACCAATGCACCCCACCAAAGCAGCACACCAACGCACCCCACCAACGCAGCCCACCAACGCAGCACACCAATGCACCCCACCAACGCAGCACACCAACGCAGCCCACCAACGCAGCCCACCAACGCAGCACACCAACGCACCCCACCAACGCAGCCCACCAACGCAGCACACCAATGCACCCCACCAACGCAGCCCACCAATGAACTTGTCCTCTCGACAAAGTAACCAGCCCTCACCACATACGCAACAATTATATTTTGTGTTATATGTTAAAGCGCATTCATGTCTCCCCTGCCTTTCAGAATGATTAATTTAGCTTAACAAAACGCATCAGGCTCAATATAGATTTAAAATGAGCCTAAGAAATATATGCATTCATATATAATTATATAAGTAGACGCATAAATTAAAGAAGATTGATTGGAAAAGATAAGTAAACATATTTAATCACGGATGAGTATTCTATATTATAAATATCTTTTCATCATCTCCGAAGGTACTGGAATGACATCAAATTCCTGGGTCCTAACATTCCCTCATTTTGAATCTACTTAAAAAATGGACTAAAAAACACGGAAAAGACACCAAGGAGAGAGCATGACAACAGAAGCATCAGCTGATAATGGCCAGAGCGTCGCCATCACCATGGTAACCACTGTTGAAGGGAGACCGAGCCTAAATATTTTCCTGTTTACAGTGAGGGGAGCCGGAACCATAAATCAGATATTCCAATACGCGCCTAATTTCTTGGGCAAGGGGAGGAAGTGGAGAGAGAGGCAGGGGGAGGGAAGAGGACTGCAGTGAACATGTAAGAGGAAGAGAAAGTGAGATGAAGAGGAGAAATGAGAAAACAAATACAGACCTGGGAAAAATATAGGGTAAAGGAGGCTCGGAATAGAGAGAAAAGGGGGACTGAGTAGATATTTGTGAGAAAGAAAATGTGAAACAGACGGAAGAGCAAGTATTCACTTGGGATGTGAGGGAGGAAGGAGGAGAGGGATACATCAAATGGACGAATGGTTATACAACGAATAGATATGGGGAGGAAACAAAGATAAAAGAGAATAGGAAAGTAGAAAAGTAATGAAAAGGAATGTGGATAATTAGACCAGTAATCTTGCCAGCACAAGAAAGGTATTAAATTATACTTTTCTCTTACTGGGAAAATGACACACACACACACACACACACACACACACACAGTTCTATTTCTAATATAAGTTAATGACATGTTTACAGGTGTAAACATGTCATTAACAGATGATAACAGAAGTTCTACATGTCGATGTTCGCGGATGAAGCAAAATTAACGAGAAGAGTTGTGACAGATGAGGATTGTAGGATCCTTCAAGAGGACTTGAACAGGTTCAAGAGATGGTCAGAGAAATGGCTACTGTACTTCAACACGAGTAAATGAAAAGTTATGGAAATGGGATTAGGTGACAGAAGACCAAATGAACAGTACACAATGAAGAGGAACTGCCTATCTGTGACTACTCGAGAAAGAGACCTGGGAGTGGATGTAACACCTAATCTAACTCCTGAGGCACATATAAATAGGATAACGACAGCAACGTACTCTACACTGGCAAAAGATAGAACATCATTCAGAAACCTAAGTGAGGAGGTCCCTAACTTAGGTTAAAGTCGTCCTTAAATCTTTAAGGGCGCTTTACACTGCCTACGTGATACCAGTCTTGGAGTATACCGTGTCATCATGGAGTCCCCACTTGAAGAAACACATAAGGAAACTGGAAAAGGTTCAGAAGTTTATGACGAGGCTTGGTCCAGAATTACTAGGGAAGGGGTATGAAGAACGCCTAAAGGAACTGAACCTAACGACACTAGAAAAAAAAGAAGGGAGAGGTGGAGGGATATGATAGGAACATATAAAATACTCAGGGGGATTAACAGAGTGGAAATAGACGAAATGTTCACGCGGAATACCAACAGAACGAGGGGACATGGGTGGAAGCCGGATACATCATATGAGTCTCAGAGATGTTAGGAAGTTTTCTTTTAATGTGAGAGTAGTGGAAAAATTTAATGCACTTAAGGAACAGGTTGTGCAAGCAAGCTCTATTCATAATTTTAAAACTAGATATGATAGGGAAATAGGACCGAAGTCATTGCTGTAAACAACCAATGGCTAGAAATGCGGGATCCAAAAGTCAATGCTCGATCCTGCAGGCACAAATAGGTAAATACAAATGGGTGAGAAGTCTGTTGAACCACGCGGCTGAGTGGATAGCGCTCGGAGGTCGTAGTGCTAATGGTCCGGGTTCGATTCCCTTCGGAGGCAGAAACAAAGGGGCAGAGTTTCTTTCACCCTGATATTCCTGTTCACCTAGCAGTAAATAGCTGCTTGGAAGTTAGGCAGCTGCTTCCTGGAGATGTGTGTGCGTGTGTTAGAGAGAAATATGTATAGTAGATGTAATAGAAGAAAAATAAATAGGTTAGAAAGGCGGGGTCCAAGAACTAATAGCTTGCTTCTGCAGACAAATAGTAAATACATACGCATTTAAGAAGTGTAAATACACTTTGTGTGTATGTGTAATGCGTGCGTGTGTAAATACATACGAACGCATTACTAGCGTGTAATGTGTGTAAATACACATGCACGTCTATTAGAGAAGGTACATGTGTAAACACACGCACGTGCACGCAATACACACGCTAGTATTACACACTACTAGCGTGCGTGTGTAAATGCACACGCACGCTAGAAGTTTCAAAGCGTTATACGAAAAAGAGTACTGGGAAGACCGGACACCACGAGCGTAACTCTCATCCTGTAACTACACATAAATAATTACTCAGAAACAGATGGGTAAAGTTTCTTTAACCTTATGCTTCCGTTTACCTAAAAGTAAATAGGTACCTGGGAGTTTGACAGCTACTACGGGCTGCTTCCTGGCAATGTGTATTTACTATTTGTATCTGCAGAATCGAGCTTTTAGCTCTTGGACCCCACCTTTCTAACCTATTAATTTTTCCTCTATTATGTCTATACTGCATATATTTCTCTAACAAACACACACACACACACATCCCCAGGAAGCAGCCCGTTGCCGCTGTCTAACTCCCAGGTACCTATTTACTGCTAGGTGAACAGGTGCACCGGGGTGAAAGAAACTCTGCCAGGTAGTACGAAGATAGTATACACAACCTCAGCACAGGTAGTATTCTAAGCAGTATTCCCCCCGGACCTGGAAGTATACATAACACATAGTATACACAAGTCTGTGTATACTCTGTATATATAAAATATATATATATGTATATATAAATATATATATATATATATATATATATATATATATATATATATATATATATATATATATATAAATATATATATGTATATATAAAAGCTCTGTACCTCAAGGTACAGTCCTTGCACCGCTACTGTTCCTTATTCTCATATCTGATATAGACAAAAATACACGCCACAGCTTCGTGTCGTCCTTTGCAGATGACACAAAAATCAGCATGAAAATTACCTCTGCTGAAGACATGAAAAACTACAAGCAGATGTCAACAAAGTTTTTGATTGGGCAGCAGAAAATAACATGATGTTTAACAGTGATAATTTCAGGTACTCAGGTACGGCAAAAATGAGGATCTGAAACATAATACAGGGTACAAAACACAATCGAATCTTCCCATAGTAGAAAAACAGCATGTCAAGGATTTGGGAATAATGATGTCCGACGATCTAACGTTTAGGGAGCATAACCAAGCAAATATCGCGTCAGCCAGAAAAATGATCGGATGGATTACGAGAACTTTCAAATCCAGGGATCCCATCACAATGGTTGTACTCTTCAAGTCACTTGTGCTGTCCCGTCTCGAGTACTGCTCAGTACTCACTTCCCCCTTCAGAGCAGGAGAGATTGCTGAAATAGAGGGAATACAGAGAACATATACGGCACGCATAGACGAGATAAAACACCTAAATTATTGGGATCGTCTCAAAGCTCTCCAAATGTACTCTCTAGAAAGGAGACGAGAGAGATACCAAATAATATACAAATGGAAAATACTGGAGGGTCAGGTCCCAAATCTACACAGTAAAATAACAACGTACTGGAGTGAACGATATGGAAGAAAATGCAAGATTGAACCAGTGAAGAGCAGAGGTGCCACAGGCACAATCAGAGAGCACTGTATAAACATCAGGGGTCCGCGGTTGTTCAACGTCCTCCCAGCGAGCATAAGAAATATTGCCGGAACAACCGTGGACATCTTCAAGAGAAAACTGGACGGTTTTCTAAGAGAAGTTCCGGATCAGCCGGGTTGTGGTGGGTACGTGGCCCTGCGGGCCGCTCCAAGCAACAGCCTGGTGGACCAAACTCTCACAAGTCGAGCCTGGCCTCGGGCCGGGCTTGGGGAGTAGAAGAACTCCCAGAACCCCATCAACCAGGTATCAACCAGGTACTGTTAGGGGGTCTAGTAGCTGAGCGGACAACTCGCAGGATTCGTAATTCTGTGGCCCGGGTTCGATTCCTGGACCAGGCAGAAACAAATGGATAAAGTTTCTTTCACCCTGATGCTCCTGTTACCTAGCAGTAAATAGGTACCTGGGAGTTAGACAGCTATTGCGGAGCTGGTTCCTGGGGGGTAAGTGTGAGTGTGTGTGTGGTGGGGGGGGGGCGGGGGGAAATAGTTAGCAGTTAGTTACAGTTGATTGTTGACAGTTGGGAGGCAGGCCGAAAGACCAGAGCTCAACCCTCGCAAGAACAACTAGGTGAATACAAGTAGTATTCTTTGCCATACTTCGCCAGCCACTATTTGATATCTATTGCCATGGGCAGCCATTCCCTACTCACTGCTCTCAAACAATGACACACACTCAACACACATATACACTGACATACACCTCAATATTGTAGGCAAAAGTTTGAAGTTTACAGATATTGTTGGTCTCATACGGTGTTAACTCTCTCTCTTTGGGTGAGCTGTCAGATCACCTCTTGTCCTGCTTGTTCACTTTGTTTTCTTCCTGGTTCTCCATCATTACCTTATTATCACAATCATCATTATTATAATCTTTCTCTTCCGCTTTTTCTCTTTATCTCCAACCGTCAGTCTTGTCCATCAACCACTACCACCACATTCGCCACCAATTCTACCTTCCTCTCTACATCTACCAACACAACTACCATCACCAATACCAGTACATCTACCATCGCTAATACTATCACCACTACCACCTCTCCGCC